GTTCTGCCGACATCGAGCAGAAACTCACGACTGTATGCGCGCTTAGAGACAGATAGACGCGACGAATACGTACAAAAACACTGCGACTCACAAGACAAAAAACACGAAAACACCTTTCTGTCGGGAGAGAGAGAAGCCGCAGCGTGTGAACGCGCCGCCATCTTTTTCCAGAAAGAAAATAATCGCCTGCACAGGTGTTTCCTATTGCTCGGTCTATTTAAACTGTGCCTTCCCTGCTCTCATTGCGAAGTCTTGTTTTGCCTTGCAGACATTTCTGAGCGTTTTCCCTGTGTTGAATACCTGTTGATTACCTGGACTGTTTACCTGTTTACGATTGCTTGCTGCCTACCTATTCTGACCCTGCCTGCCTTGTTGATTCATGCCATTGATTGTCTGCCGCCTGCCTCGACGCTGATCACGAACACTGTTTACGATTCTGCCCAGCCTTCGTTGTATCTAACGCCAGTTAACGATTTATGCCTGTATGACCTGCCTTGTGAACTAATAAAGCTGCACATGGATCCTAACGCCACTGCCTCGTTGTTACAAAGGTAGGGTAGGGGATTTCGGAAAGGCTAGCGATAGCAAGTTAGCTTTTAAAGCAAGATCCCCATACCCTCCCTGCATAATCGCTCTGCAAAGCCACGCCTCCCCCAAAACACACAAACACGCTCAGGCAGACCAGAGACTATCCTGCAACACGATTACAAACAGCGTTAGTGGAGGATTGAATGCAACACTGTCAGATTACCTCATGTCTCATTCACCAGTGAGAAAACATCACAGTACAAAGAGCATAATATTACAATAATAGCACCTTCCATTCTCGCTGGAATGCGCTGATGACGTATAATTTCTGCGCAAACAGGGTGCATAACATATCTGACAGGCAGGCAGGACAGCCTTTCATAATGTTCGGACCGAACATTTGATTGGACGAACATTTTATGGTCCTACGCCTTCCACAGACGATATAAATACATATAAATACATTTATACCATTAATATATTTATGCCAACCCCTCAGAGGACCTCAGATGATGCCAACGCTGAATCAACATACAGAACTACCAAATTTTGCTATAAGTTTGATTGCAACATATAATAATTGCTGTTAATATTGTTCATAGTCTGATTGATTACGTCTTTAATTGATTTTTCTGCACATTTCTGCCATATGTACATTTACTGACACAGTCACCACTGATAAGCTACTACTAAATATATTGTAGAAATATATTGTACAGCTGCTTTGCAACGATTTGTATCGTGAAAAACGCTATACAAATAAACTTGAATTGAATTATACCACTTAACTTAGTGATTGCTATTGGGATGTGAAGAGATTTTCAACCAGCATAACAAAAATGTTTTTGAACCAAATCTCCTTACCCTGCCTTTAACGTTTTGTTTGTTTTGTTACAGCTGGTTCTTGACGCAACTTCTCTGTTATGACAGAGACCTATGAGACAAGAGAAAATGATTCCTTTTCGGATGGGATGCTGTATGGAAATTATTCCAGAGACTATTTTGGAGGCTATCCTCTAAATTATTCCACAAACTTTTCCATATTCTCATCCATTATCGATTCCATAGCAGTGTTTGCAGGTAAAGTTTCCAGACCTCCAGAAGCAATTTGTAACATCTGAGCTCTTCATGTGATGTGTGATGTGAAATCGTCACTACAGTTCATAATCAAATTTTTACTCCAAAAGGAAGTGCTATGCATATTGTACAGTAAATGACTGGACAGTTTTTGAGTATTTAGAGGATTTGAGGATATTTTAAATATTCTGGAATCAAAGGTGAAGCAAACAACTCTAGAAGTCAAACAGAAAACATAGGTTCTGATTCAGTATTTTTACTGTAAACAAATTTCTTTTCTTGGATGAATTGCTTAGACCAACACTATCACCCTAAAAGCTTTTCACACAGATTTTTTTTAACCCCGGGTTATCGTTGTCCTAAACCCAGCTGCTTTTAACTCTGGGTAAAGGAACATTTCACACTTATAACATAAAAGTGAGGTGGGCCGCGCTTTTTACCTGGGGTTATAAAACTTTGCCCAGAGTGGAGTTAGCAGTGATTTTGCGGTGTAAAACTTGTACAGTGTAAAATGATGAAATGTTATAATCTTATGGGTAGATACATAAAAACATACATGCTATCGCGTGCCTCATAATCACGTGCTTTGGACAGTCACAGAAACCCAGCGTGCTAACAGTTACAGCATCTGAGGGGGAAATGTCAAATGGTGATTGAATTTGAGTGAAGAAGAGAGCATTTCGTTCTTACCTTTACAGTGCGAAATATCTATTCAGGAAAACTTGGTAGTACAATTGGCATTATATAATATGAGGATGAATAATGTCATTGACCATCCATTCAATGACACTAACACCACAAAAATGAACATTAAAACGTTAACCCAGTGTTTAGGAATGTACAGTGTGAAACGTCCACATATGAATAGGCTGCATTAATTGTTAACACTGGGTAAATTATGAGCATTGTGAAATTAGAAGCAAGGTAACCCAGGATTCCATTTACCTGGGGTTTAGAATGACAAAGTGTTAGCTATTTCAAGTGTGAAAAGCCTTCTGTTCACCTATATTTATCTGGTGGTGTTGAGAAGTTTCACGGTTGTTCTTGTTTTAATTTATTTATTTATTTTTGCATGTTTGTTTACAGATCCAATCATTATCCATATTCTTGAAGACCAGCCATGTAACAGCACTGATCTGAATGCAGTGGGTTGCAACAAGACTACACAGCACACATACAACATCTCTGACGAGTCTGTTGACTTCCTCAAAGGCCTGCTGGTCACACGCGTCATGCCCTCATTCTACATCATCATCATCCTCATTAGTTTGCCCCTGAACACTTTGGCCTTCGTAGCGTTCACCTGTAGGATTCGAGAGAAGAAACCAGCTGTGATCTACATGTCTCACCTGGCGTGTGTGGACCTGCTCTTCACCCTGCTGCTGCCTCTGAAGATCCACTACCAGCTGAACGCTTCAGATTGGGTGTTCGGTGAGGCGGTGTGTTGTGTGCTCAGTGCAGCTTACTACTGCTACATGTACTGCTCCATACTGCTGATGATGAGCATGAGTGTGGACAGGCTGCTGGCTGTAGTGTTTCCCATCGCCTCTCTGACCTGGAGGAGCACAAGGAAAGCCACATGTGTGTGTGTGCTGGTCTGGCTGCTGGCGCTCGCTGGTACAGTGCCACTTCTCTCCATAACACAAACATTCAAGATAAAGGATGTGGGCATCACCTGCCATGATGCATTGATCCACAATGACCATACAGATCAGCAGTACATGTACCAGTTCTCCATCCTCTCCTGTGTCTACTACTTTGTGCCACTTATTGTCACCTTAGTGAGCTACTCCACCATCATATTTGTGCTCCGAATCAAGTCTAATCAATTTGCGACATCATCATCGCTATCAGAAAAGCGAAGTAGAGCTGCGATTATGGCTATTGCTGTGCTGATGGTGTTTGTGGTGTGCTTCGCACCAACCAATGGCATCCTGTTGTACCACTGTTTTCTTTTAGCTACTGGATTCAACAGCGGTGAGGGAGATTTATCATATGCAGCTTACCTGTTGGCTGTGTGTTTGGGGAGCGCAAGTGTTTTTCTGGACCCTCTTCTGTACTATTACGGCTCGTCTCAATGCAGACAGAAGATCAGCTCTGTGTTTTGGTGGAGATGGGGAAAAAGCACCTTATCAAATTCAAACAGTCAGACAAAATCCTCTTATGTAAGTTGTGAGTACAGTCAGGCACGCATTAAGATGTGAATTGTTTCGAAAAAGAGCTGATGAAATTTTCTGATATTGTGCTATTGACAGAAGATTGAATTCAAAGTCTGGCCACAAATCCTGATTCATGCTAAAGCAGGATATATATCCCTTCCATGCTGTTATTTTAAAAAATCCAGCATGTTACTAGGTCAAATTGACCCAACCTATTCACTGCTCAAGAGACTCCATTTCCTGTTTGTGACTGAGCATGTGTAAGAAACACAGTGTTACTGAAAGCATTTTACATCGCCATGTTCAGATCACATTTCTAGAGAATGTCATGCAATTTCAGGCTGAAAAATTGAAAGTTAAGTGGCAGTAAATCTGTCTAAAAGAGGACAGAATATTGTATAGAAGAAACTTAAAACATTCTATTTTTGAAACATTTACTTGATACACTTTCATTCAATTTTGATTGCAAGACAATTACAAAATTACACAAATATTTGTACAAAACAGATAATAAAACAGATCATGTTGTTATCTTTATATTTTCTGAAATATTAATTAGCACAATCAGCATTTTCTAAAAATTAAGCACCTACTTTCAGTAAATATTTGTTTAGAAATATTTCAAAAAACATTTCAGGCTCTATTTTGTGACGTATTTGTGAAAAGAGCCAGCAGTCAAAATACAACAAATATAAAAAGCAGTCAATCCAAGTGTATGGGTGAAACAAAAAACATGATATTGACTATTTTGTAATTCTGAAGGCAAACAGTTCAGCTGCAGTCACTGTAATTCATTATATAGACACATTATCTGTATATATAATCAGACTTTTTCCATCTCTGTCTTTTGCTGTACAGGTACACTCCACTATATTAAATTGCCGGTTTTAACCGACAGCTTGAATGTGTAAATATCTCTACATATAAGATGATGTGATACATACATGTGCACATGGATGATATACTGTATTTAAATAATTTGTGCACATTTTCTTATACTATTATATTTTAATAACTGAACTGAACTTATATATTTGCTAGTTGTCAAACAAGCCTATTTTCTCAAACTTTTAAGTTCTGGTCTTCGCTATATCATATTGTATCACTAAAGTACCTACTATATATCTTACTTTTCTCAGGTCCCAGTGACAACAGTGAAATGCTGAAATCTTGTCTTACACTAAAAAAATGGTGCTATATAGCACTAAAAGCGGTTCTTTGGCTTGTAATCATAGGGGAACCACTTTTAGTGCTATTTAGCACCTATTTTTACAGGTACTATATAGCACCTTTGTCAAATGGTGCCATGTAGAACCATAAGAGGTGCCATATAGCACTTTTTCTCAACAATGGTGCACCAATCATAACTCATCCATGGCTCCCAGCATGCATTGCGACATGAATAAATGATGCAGCTGCATTGTCTTAGTATTTTCTTTTATTCTTACTATTTGCTTTTATTTTTGTTGTGACTTTTTACTGCCCTGTTGCGTGATGTTCAAAAATCATGTCAAAATGATCAGAACATTGTCACCATTGCTGAGATTCACATGCTGATTCTTCATGTCTATGAGTGACAGAATTGAAACCTCTATATAACCCATAATTCTAAAAGTGGTTTGTACAATTTTCTCACATTGTCACGTAGTATCGTAGAACTGCAATAACATAAAACGCATAACAGAACTACAGCTTTTGATAAAGTGCAACCAGAGACTCAGACGCATGAAATGATTTTACAATAAGTTCCTTACCATCACATATGTGCTTTATAAACACTATTGTAACAGCCAAAGACAAACTTATTTTAACTTAAAATTAAAGTCAAAGGTCAAGAGGCAACTAAAGCAAACACTATTCACCAAAACATAGCACCTCATCGACTCCATAGAACTGCTGAAGAACCGCTGAAGAACCATACAGGGGCTTAACAGGTTCTTTATAAGGTAGTGGTGCTATATAGCACCTTAACCACTCCAAAGAACCGCTGAAGAACCGTTGTTTTTTTTTTTAGAGTGTACAGCAGAGATAAGTTTGCCTATATGTTTTTCTGTTGCATTATATTTATCTGATGTACAGATAAGCATAACTTCCCCATTCCATAAATAACTATTCTCAGATCTGGACATCAGTTATAAAACACTCATTTCAAACATATTCAGTTATGTTGCACTTGCATGTATGATTGACTAGAAGAAATACAGTATATACCAAAATAATGTACTGTTGTATATGAGACCCGTTTATATTTGCTGCATTTGCTGACCAGATAAAAGCTTCAAATTTGACACGTTTCTTCATTTTGTTCATCCATGAATACATTCCTTCTTAAACCAATTATGCCGAAATTATTTGCCAAGAAAATTTAGGCATATGTCACGCAGTTACAACTATTGTGATTAAAAACAATTATTGTCTGAATCGTGTGAAGCATGTGTATTTCTTGTTCTTTACATGAAGCCTCACAGAGGGACGAGACTTGTAATATTATTTAGTTAAATTATTATCTGACGCCTGTGATATATTGAACTTATATATTTCACAGAAAAAGTGATCATAATTCCTCTAGATGGCGATGTCCAACAGCAACTTTGTTAATGAAAACTTTCGGTTTAGATTTGGGAACGTTTTATGTTGCAGTTTGTTCAGGGTTATCTTTCTTTTGTGGTTCTTGAAGCTTCTGAATCTATGTTGATTCGTATACCTAGGCCTATCGAAAATAATGATGTTATCATATTTTAAACCACATACTGGCATCGTCACTCATGCGAATCGGTTCTTTTGAACAATTCGTTTGAATCGGACATTTCGAATAAGAGTTAAATAAATCGCGGAAAATACAGTGGCTGTCATGAATCTCGAGTTTGTAAGAACATATCATCCAATGTCATTTTTAATCCAATGTCTGTATGATCTGCTTTTGATGGAACAGTCAAACGAATCATTTAATTTAATTGAGTCATTTATGTGACATGCTGTCTGTCATATCAGTCAGCTGAGTGCATATCGCCTGACTCTCGATTATCTACGTTTTAAAATGACTTGGTTGATTAGAGCGTTGAACTGAAAACTGTATTTGGTTCGGACATCAGCCACATCGACTCGGCTTAACCAGTTCGTCTGATTCGGTGAAAAGATTTAAATAAACGTTTGGTCTACGAATCAGACATCACCTCTCCACCGTGCGGCTGTTTCTATCTGACCAGAAATTTTGCAGTAAGAAAAATCTGGAGTTAGAAGTAGACAGCTGATCGTGATGGGAATTAAAACAATCTTGATTTTAGTTGTAATAGTACGTACATGCACTGCCACCTTTAAAGGTAAGCCTACATCAAAATATGCATAAAAATGATAACTTAATTTGATGTCTTGTTGATGTGTAACTGAGATTGAAACTTAATTGTATCTATAATTTGAACGTCAGGAAGTTTTATTTGTTTTTACAATAAACATAAATATATATATATATGTGTGACCCTGGACCACAAAACCAGACTTAAATCGCTGGGGTATATTTGACCCATACAAAAACACATTGTATGGGTCAAAATTATTAATTTTTCTTTTATGCCAAAAATCATTAGGACATTAAATAAAGATCATGTTCCATGAAGATATTTTGTAAATTTCCTACTGTAAATATATAAAAAATTAATTTTTAATTAGTAATATGCATTGCTAAGAACTTAATGTAGACAACTTTAAAGGCGATTTTTTCAATATTTCGATTTTTTTTTGCACCCTCAGATTACAGATTTTCAAATAGTTGTATCTCAGTTGTACAATTAGTTATTTTTCCATAGGTTAAATAAAGCAAAAATATTTAATTGATCTCCGGCTTTTCCCTGAACAACTAATAAGAGACCTTTATTGCTGTGCATAAATAAAGTATTCCAAACATTATGTTTGAGATGTGTCACTGCTCTAACCTGTTGAATCTTGTATCACTGTCATTATCATGCAAATTCTGGAATGACAGAAAATTAACTTTTAAAAGACATACAAAATATTAGTTCTCTTTCGAACGGTCTCTCCCGTTGCATAACACACATTGGGGAAAACTCCTGTTTTACTCTGTACTAAAGCTTGATTTGTTCACGTTTGTGTAGCTGCACAAACCAATGGCGCTTTAGCGTGCCAGAAAGGGCAGAGCCGACCGCTATATAAGTCGGCTCGGAGCGCCATTCATCAGACCATTCTCTTTCAGCGATGAGGATCATCTGTTTGCTGACTCTGCAAGGAAGCCGAAGAAAAAGAAGAAGCCTAAGGAAGAAGCTCCACCTGCTTGCCACCGTCAAAGAGCCCCGGCAGATAAGTTTTCCTTGCGGCCATCCGGTGTTTAAAGAGCAAAAGCAAATTTCCTAAAAGAGCTCAGTGCACGTTGTTGCAAATGTTGCGCCGCTAGTGTGGCTCGTGCAAGGGGCACAGTGAGTGTGTCGCCTGTCTGGGCAGAGTCTTAGCCTTTCCTGCCTCTGCTCGCGGAACGCCTTTTTCCGCTCAACTCTCCCGTTTCCTTTCTCACCAAAGAGGAAGAAACAGCGGAGCAGCGGGTCTTTCTCTCTGGGTACCCTCACCGCGTCCTCTCATCTCGCCGGTGTACTTCACACAGGAGGACCAGCACCCCTCTTCAAGCCGATGACTTGGTGTCCTTGGCGGCGTCAGACGCAGGAGCGTGCTCAACCCGTGAGGCCAAAGCCAGATGCCGAACTCATGTCTAAGGCTGTAGAGGACTTAGGTCTTGAATGGTCAGCCCCAGAAGAGCCCGCCCACGGCCTATTGGATGAGTGGTACCTTCAGGGAAGCCGTCAACAGTCCTCTTGTCAGCGGCCTTCCCCGTTCTTGCCTGCAGTTCACGATGAGCTCACTAAGAAGTGGCGTGCCCCCTATTAAGCCCGGGTTAACCCCTCTACAGCAGTGGCTCTCACTTCCGTTGACGGCGCTGAAGACAGAGGGTACAGCAAGCTTCCCCCTCTGGAAGAGGTGGTCGCTGCCCACTTATGCCCGCCATCTGTCCTCGGTTTGAAGGCCCATGCAGCGCATCCCTCCAAGCCCTGCAGGACCACCACGTCCATAGCCAACAGGGCTTATGCAGCGGCCGGTCAGGCCGGATCGGCGCTGCATACAATGGCGGTCCTCCAAGTGTTTCAGGCCAAACTTCTCCGCAGCATGGACGAGTCAGGCCAGCAGCACCAGGAGGCTTTTAAAGAGCTGCGCACAGCGACAGACCTGGCTCTGCGCGCAACGAATGCAACGGCGCAGGCGATCGGCAAGGCGATGGCCAGTTTGGCGGTGTTGGAACGCCACCTCTGGCTGAATTTGACTGAGATCAGGGACGCTGAGAAAATGGCCTTCCTCGACTCGCCAGTCTCGCCGAAGGGTTTGTTCGGCCCCGCTGTGGATGGATTCACAGAGCGTTTCTCTGAGGCTCAGAAGACGTTGCAAGCGCTGCATCACTTCCTACCCAAGCACTCCATTCCGCGACTGCTAGTCGCCAGAAGACCTCCGCCACTCAGCCTGCAAAGCCAGCGCAGCCTCAGTCTCAGCCGCAGAGGAAG